GCTGAACATTTGACAATAGAAAGTGTGTAAAGATCACTGCAAAGCAATCTCTACTCTAGACATGGTCTATATGTTAAAGTCACCTAATCGTCAAAAAGTTTGTCATTGACACACATTTTGTTTTAATTTTGCAGGATGAAGAAGCGAAGGCAGTGACTTATGCATCAGTGGATTTCTCAACAAGGAAAGTGAAAAGCGGACGGAGAAAGGAGAGAGAATGCAAAAAGATTGTATGTACTCTGTTGTTAGATCAGATCACTACAACCAGCCACACCCCTCTCTATAGTCAGAGATGTGAGTTGCTTTCTGAATGTGTTGATACAGGAAGTGTGCCAGCATTACTGTAAGGTGTCATCTAGGTCGACATGTCTGTCGAACTGTTTGCTTCTGTTTTTTTGTTGACATAATAAAACTTGATATTTATAGTGTCCCCTAATATTGAGTAACTGTATCTTCACTCAACTCCTACAACATACACAGTATGCCTGTGAATGAGGTGTTAGCCTCCTTAGATAAACAATGCTTGGATTTCGTCCTTCATCCAAGACTGCGGTGAGGGACTCAGGGCAACAAATCTGTCATCCAGTTGAAGGATAGTTATCTTTTAACTGATGATCGATATATATATATGGTTAGAATAAAGATAAAGATTTGTGTTAAAATCATAAGGTGACAATATAACATAACAGCCAAAACAACGTAATTAGAGCAACTAGCATAAAATTAATAGCAACCGCCCTTAGCGGACTTCCTTTTGTAACAGGCATAAAGTGAATGTTGGGTTTCGGTTTTACTTAAAATACAAAAAGAGTCTCCTACGTCAAAGTCCTGTGCTTATGTTGAGTGATCCAACAACCGTCCCACCCTTATTGGACTTTCTCGCTTACTGTATTTTATATTAAACCACGTAACTTTCAGTAACGATTGCAAGAGACAATCTTCTCTGCACTTCGTTCATAGTACTAAGTCACTTACGAGAACATTGAAATTCAACGTTTCCATTGATTACAGACACATAAGGCGCATTCACACCACAGTACTTTTCCCACTTTAGTTCATGAGAACTCTTTCGTTCTCATGAACTAAGTACAGATCGCGTTCACACCGGAATAAGTTCCCTGAGGGAAGATTACGTCACTTCTTCTTCTGCTTTGGGTCGCTCACCTACAGACTGCTCCAGTACCGGCCCCATCAGCCATGGTTCCGGCTTCACTACCGGCCCCAGCAGCCATGGTCCCGACTCCAGTTTCGGCTCCAGTACTGGCTCTTCGGCCGATGCCAGCTTCCTGTGTCCTGTCAGCTTACCGACCGTCTCAAGTCTCCTCTCGATTCTCCTCTCGAGTCTCCTCTCAAGTTCCCTCTGGAGTCTTTTTTCAAGTCATCTCTCGAGAGCCCTCTCAAGTCACCTCTCAAGTCTCCTCTCGAGTTTCCTCTCAAGTCACCTCTCAAGTTCCCTCTCAGGTCCCCTCTCAAGTCTCCTCTCAAGTCTCCTCTTGAGTCCCCTGTCAAGTTCCTTCTCAGGTCCCCTCTCGAGTCTCCTCTCGAGTTCCCTCTCAAGTTCCTTCTCAGGTCCCCTCTCAAGTCTCCTCTCGATTCTCCTCTCGAGTCTCCTCTCAAGTTCCCTCTGGAGTCCTTTTTCAAGTCATCTCTCGAGAGACCTCTCAAGTCACCTCTCAAGTCACCTCTCGAGTTCCCTCTCAGGTCCCCTCTCAAGTCTCCTCTCGAGTCTCCTCTTGAGTCCCCTGTCAAGTTCCTTCTCAGGTCCCCTCTCAAGTCTCCTCTCGAGTTCCCTCTCGAGTTCCCTCTCAAGTTCCCTCTCAGGTCCCCTCTCAAGTCTCCTCTCGAGTCTCCTCTTGAGCCCCCTGTCAAGTTCCTTCACAGGTCCCCTCTCGAGTCTCCTCTCGAGTTCCCTCTCAAGTTCCCTCTGGAGTCCTTTTTCAAGTAATCTCTCGAGTGCCCTCTCAAGTCACCTCTCAAGTCTCCTCTCGAGTGCCCTCTCAAGTCACCTCTCAAGTCTCCTCTCGAGTTCCCTCTCGGGTCCCTGCCCGGTGTCCTGGTCCGTTGGAGGTTCCGTTGGGGGTCCAGCCGGCTCCATGTCCTGTCCCGTTGGGGGTCCCGCCGACTACTCTTCTGCCGGGGGTCCTGCCGGCCCTATGTCCTGTGCCGTTGGAGGCCCCGCCGACTGCTGTTCTGCCGGGGGTCCTGCCAACCCTATGTCCTGTGCCGTTGGCGGTCCAGCCGACACCTGTTTCGTCGGGGGTCCTGCCAATCCTATGTTCTGTGCCGTTGGAGATCCCGCCGACTACTGTTCTGCCGGGGGTCCTGCCAATCCTATGTTCTGTGCCGTTGGAGACCCCGCCGACTACTCTTCTGCCGGGGGTCCTGCCAACCCTATGTCCTGTGCCGTTGGAGGCCCCGCCGACTACTCTTCTGCCGGGGGTCCTGCCAATCCTATGTTCTGTGCCGTTGGAGACCCCGCCGACTACTCTTTTGCCGGAGTTTCCTGCCAACACCGTGTCCTGTCCTGTTTCGTGTCCCATCGACACCAGCCGTCGTGGGACCCACTGACACCAGCCCAGGTTCCGTCCAGGGTCTCGTCTACGCCTGAACCGCCAGGGGTTCCACCAGCTCCTGCCCGTCCTTGTGCCCGATCTCCTGAGTTCCCAGCAGCTTTCGCCCTAGAGCCCGGTCTCCTGAGTTCCCCAGCCGAGGACTCCACCATGAATACTGCCTTGCCCCCGGGCTGTCCGCCCAAGAACTCCATCATGGGCTCTGCCTTGCCCCCGGGACGTCCACCCGAGAACTCCATCATGGGCTCTGCCTTGCCCCCGGGACGTCCACCCGAGAACTCCACAATGGGCTTTGCCTTGCCCCCGGGCCGTCCGCCCGAGGTCTCCACCATGAACTCTGCCTTGCCCCCGGGCCGTCCGCCCGAGAACTCCATCATGGACTCTGCCTTGCCCCTGGGCCGTCCGCCCGAGACACCCACCCTTTTGGATATTTTGGGGGGGGGGGGGGGTTCTGTCACGATTCTTGCGTTATGTCACGTTTTTAGTTTTGTATGTCTTGTTATGGGTGTTTTGCTGTTTTCCCTGTCATGTTTTCCTCCTTGTGTATTGTCTGGTCCTTCTCCCTGTGTTTTCCTCCCTGTCGTTAGTTTCCCTGGTGTGTCTAATTGTCTGATTGTGTTTACCTGTTTCCCTTCTGTGTCTCCTGTGCTCATCAGCGTCAGCCCCGCCCCTGATTGTCCCCACCTGTGTCTTGTTATCTTGTGTTTAAATTCTCCTGTCTCCCAGTGTTCAGTGTCTCTTGGTCTTGTCTCTTGCCATGGTCAGGTCTATGCTCTCTGTGCTCTTGAAAAGTTTTGTTCCTCACTACGTGAGCGCTTTCATTTTGTTCTAAATTTTTGTCATCTCAACTTGAGATTTGCTAGTGACCATTTTTTTTGTTCATCTTGCTGTATTTTGGAAAAATAAAATATCTTACCAATACTTTACCTCTGTCTCCCGGGTCTTGCAATTGGGTCTAGTGTTCATTTACCGTTTTGTCTTCTCTTTGCAATACTTAATCGATTTGAAACCAAGTCTAACGTAGCTTAAACTTAACGTTAGCTTTCTAGCTAACACAACACATGCATGTATACCTTTCTCTGTGGGTTTTTTTTTAGTGACGAATGAAGTTGGATGTTGTGGTGGTCTTGTCACTGATCTTTATGCGGCAGACCCTGCATACCGCTGTTCTCTTCTTATTACCGTCATCGACAACATAATCCTTGAATCCAAACTTCACTATTTTTGGAGTAAAGCTAGCCGCCGCTCATAGGCGGCGCGTGAGGCTCAGGTTTGGGAAGGCTAAATAACTTTTTTTTACCTGACGCTGCCCGCCCCCGGCGTCAATAGAAAAGAGATCAACTTAGTGAAAGCACCGCCTGCTGACCAATCAGAGCTCAGTGTGCGGAGTTTAAATCTATCAAGTCATATTACAGGATAAAGGAAATACAGTTTAAACTGCCGTATGCAGAGCAGACGCCGACGTGTCGCATTTATCATTCATATCACACAATATCACATCAATCAGATTTCCTTATCTGAGTCAGCTTCTCGAGCTGTATCTAGCCGTGCAACACTTACAGTGTCACATACTGTATGCAGACGCATTATTTTAAGCAACACATTAAGTTGACGAAACACTCAACTCAAATGTAATTAAAGTCAGATCCTCTCGTGTCTTGGGGCAGTGATATCATAAAACTGTTGTACGCTTTCAAACACTCTGTAGTTTATTTATTTTTTAACCAGTTGTTATATATTCACCTTGCAGGTGCAACTATGTGGCTTGTATCCTGGATTATATGTTTAAGTCATGGATGTTTAAAGTTCATATTTGTCTAATATTAGTTTACTTTTCATTAATGAAGTATGACGCTGCGCTGTCAGTACACTTGTCCATGTTTGTTATTGGTCAAATGTAGCTAACCCCGCCCCTTTCACGTGAACGCGCTCTCAGCTGGAGAGAGAAACCCTGGCTTGATTTACCGAGTTGATAACCAGTGTCGTAGGACCGCTTAGCGAGATCTCGTTTGTTAGGGTTAGTTAAGATAACTCAAACATATTCAGGGTATATTTGACTGGCTTCGTACAGGGCACAGGTGGCTGCATAGCAGCGCTAATGTCAAAGACACACACATTACATTATATTTTTATTTTACCAGGATGCAGTGACACAAATATTTGGGAAGGTTTAGCCTTCCCTAGCCTACAGTACCCGCCGCCCCTGCCGCCGCTGCATGTAAGCTGACACTCCTTCCTTCTAGTGGGTTGCCAGGTTTCCGCGCATGGCGCATCACGTTTTTCGAAAAAAACTAAACGTAATATCTCACTACAAAAACAAACGCAAATATTTAATGTTAAACAGTCAAGTCCTTTCAAGTCATCTGTCTCAAGCTTAAGTCAAGTCTCAAGTCATGAATACCAAGTCAAGTCAAGTCTTTTATCAATGTTAGTCAAGCAAGTCTCAAGTAAAATAATATGCGACTAGAGCCTGACTCGAGTCAAGTCATGTGACTCGAGTCCCTACCTCTGCTGAACAGACACCCACTTGACAAACAAATGACGAGTGGAAATGTGGGCATGGCTGTGGTTGGGCTGCCAAATTAGGGTATGCTTTCAAAGTCACATTTCCTTCAATGTCATTCTTAAAAGTTTCATGAGGTTATACAAACTTACCCTTTCAGTAAAACAGTATTTTAGTCATGCATTGACAGTGAAGGTGTCTTTAGTGCTGTTTTAAAGTTTGTGTGCTGTTTGACTTTGTACAGCTCAAATAACACATGAAAAGGTGAATAACGTTGGGCACATGTGTTCTCAGAGTCAGACGTAAACAGTATCAACTCAGAATCACTGTGTTGGCTCTTTTGTTTTTCTTCGTAATGTGATTTACAGTACATAAAGCCGACAAATACTGTGTTAAAGTGAACACTATGAGTGACAATGATTAAACTAAAATTAGATTTATGTTTCCTTGTGAAACACTTCCCTTCTTGCACCTCTAACCTCATTATATATCCTGTAGGGCAGGTCTCTTCAGAGGAAACAGATTCAGTGGTCAGTCAAAGGAAGATAAATGGCTTTTTCTCTGTCATTGTATCTGTGACATGTGAATTTACTCTTGCTTTGATGTAAAATGACTGACTGCTTTGAGACTAGAAAGAAAAGTTATGCGTACAAAATGTTTACTCATTCATTATTTGGCAAAAAATCTGCAACAAAAATGCATTTGGACAAAAATAGCTCTATTACAAAGTAATGCATTACTGCACCAGACCTACATCATGTCCTAAAGGTACTGATATTTCAGTGACAAAATGAATGACCACGTACACACATTTACAGTGAGCTTCAATAGCAAAATGCTTTTGACACGGACAAGAATAAAAGTAAATTCCCATTGCAGTGGAAATTCTGTACACTGTTGTGACAGGAAGTTTGTCTGTCAGTTGTTTAGTCGTCTTTTGTGTGTCTGCAGCGTATCAGTATGTCACACAATGTCACATGGTGTTTGATCAGACAGTTTTTCCATTTCATTGAAAAGGGGACATGATCGAAGGTTTGGTAAATTGAGGGCCGAGGTCTGCCTTTCAGCCAATCACAATGACTTCTACTTTGTTAACCTTGATGACTTTTGGGTAAATGTTCCATTTGGGTGCGCAGACATCAGCAGTGCAAGGGAAGGGCTCTGTGGCACAATGATGGGAAGACTGGCTGCTCTGTTTCTTCTAAGGACATTGTGTGAGTACAACTTTACTTACTACTGAAAGACGAGTACTACTATTTTCGAAAGGTCGTATTCAAGTTTAGACAAGTTTAACAATTAGTATTACTGTATTATCTTATCAATTTTCATTGTCTTATCTTTGTGTTTGTCCTGTTGTCTCTTTATTCAGCCCTGATTCAAACTGCAGAGGTTCCTCACCAGATATCTTTGACTCCGGTGGAACTTGGTGGTAATTTGACTCTGACATGTTCAGTCTTTAAAAATGAAGCGGGGATGGTTTACTGGTATAAGCTGAAGTTTGGATATATGTTTCAAACTGTTGCGGCAGGAACTTTTGACAAAATACAACTTCAAGGACAATTTAACAACTCAAGATTCAACATCACAAAACGGCATGCTCAGAATATTTTAAACATCAAAAATGTCACAAAAGAAGATGAAGCAATGTACTTCTGTCAAGCAGGGTCGGCATACAAAATGGAAATGATTTACGGCACACTTTTAGTTGTGAATGGTAAAGTATATTCATTTCAATTACTTAATTTGCTACATTGGAAAATCCTTAAAATCAGTTACTTTATTCTTAATGTTTGTCCATCACACAGATCATAAAAATCTGAAGAAATCTGTCTACGTGAAGCAAAGTCCGAAGACTGAGTCAGTCCAGCCCGGCGACTCAGTGACTCTCCAGTGTTCACTCCTCTCCAAACACAAAGAAAACACACATCAGTGTCCAGACGAACACAATGTGTACTGGTTCAGATCTGGATCAGGACAATCCCATCCAAGCATCATTTACACTCACAGTGAGGAACAAAAGGAACGCAGTTGTGTCTTCAGTCTGTCCAAAACTATACACAACTCCTCTGATACCGGGACGTATTACTGTGCTGTGGCTACATGTGGACAGATCCTGTTTGGAGAAGGAACTACAGTGGAGACAAGTACGTTTTTTAAAGTTGAATTCTGAAATCTTTAGTACATTATGAACATTAATGCTAGTCAGATATATTGGATAAATATTGATAAAGTGTATAAAGAATATCAATAAATGATAGATGCTAGTTTGCATTTATTTATCTTAGGATAAATATTTGTTTCTAAATATCTATCTGCATAGTCAAGTTGCATCTTTCAGTCAAACAGATTCACAGCTCTTTGATATTTTAAATCTTGGTCCAAGTAGATACACTGTTTTGTCATGCACTTGAAAAAGTTGGTGCAATAAAAAAAACATGTCCTTAAACAGAAGGCTCTTTTTGACCTTAATGTAAAGTAATGATTGATCGACAAAGCCAAATCAATTCTCCAAATGTGACAGTATTTTTAACAGACAATATTGACAGAAATGTAAATCTCTGAAAATTGTAATGAGGAGTTGAAGTGTCTATTTTTCTAATTCCAGGATCAAAACTGGACGCAGTTGTCCTCGTACTTGGAGCACTGTTGGCCTGCTCTTTGACTTTAATCGTCATCCTTACTTTCTACGTAAATCGAGGAGTTTGTCGACACTGCAAAGGTAGGTTCCTAAATCATACAGCAATGTTTTAGGCATTGATTTTTGCTCATGTTCTAAATTGTAGGAATGTAGTTTTATTGTAACTTCGGTTAATTTTACCCAGTAATAACAGGCCCAACATCACATTGGGCTTAAACCCAAGCACATAACATTCATACACTTTGTGTCTCCTACAGAGGCCTTTTATATGTTAATTGTTGAATCATTTTCTTCCCAAGCTTCCCTCTTTCTAATCCTCATCAAGCAAGTATAAGTATTCATTTAACAGTTTAACCCAAAGGATATACATTTTGAGCTTTCTGTAAAATCGTTGCGAGTTTGAGTCCTGGGTTATCTCAACATCCTTTCAAATGTCTTCATCTGTCAAAAGGGGAAATGCAACTTAAATGATTAACTCTAAAATAGTCATCTCTATGCAGACATGTCATGTATGATGTCACCATACATGTACTCAACATATTCTGTGAACTCATAACTACAGTTTCATGTAGTTATATTTCTAAGTTTAATTCAAAAGTAAAAGTCCCACAAAAGGGCAAAACTCCAGACTCTACTTAAAAATTCAGCGACAATTGAACAATTGAACCCCATCAAACATTATTTAACTTTTTCTGCAGTAGCAACGTGTACCACCCGTAATCCTAGAGCCAACGAGGCGGCAGTGGATGAATCAACTGACCTGGTAAATATATTTATAACTTTGAAACTATGCACCAAATGTGGAGGCAAAAAGCATCCTCGTACATTTTCTGACTTTAGACTCAATCATTCAAAGACTTGGTTTGGATTAAGTGTTTTTCATTTCACAGGCCTAATATTTAAGGAATGTATGTTTAATAGACTATATGATTTGCAGGATGGAGGCGAAGAGGCGGTAAACTATGCAGCACTGAATTACTCCACAAGAAAAGTGAAGCAAAAGCAAGAGTTACCACAGGAGTGTGTGTACTCCGCTGTGAGAGCAAACCACACACAGCACCACGCGCCCGTGTGAGCTTTAGCTTAGCTCAGCTTTGCATGTTTTTAACAAATGTTTTGCTGTTAATTACTTTGCTTTATATTTTGCTTTTAAAAAGCTAGTTGTTGATGTGACATGCACAAAAGAACACTGCTTGTTGCACAGGCATGAGGAGGCGACTGAGAATGCCTCGAGTTGAAATCAATAAACTTTTCAAACACCCGGAGAGAAAATGTGGTTTAATCAATGTTCATCAAAAAACCAAGGCTGCATATAAGAGACTACACACATGTACATGTTATGACTGTGCATTGTTCTTCAATCTGAATTTAAATAAATGTTGGTATACTTGAGCCAGAGTAGCCATGTGTGTTGTACTGTGGCTCATGTGCCTTTCTATGATCAGGGCCTCGCAGTGGATGCAAATAATTGAAAATGTGTCCTCTTGATAATCATCACCCAACAGCATATACAGTGACTCCGAAACAGAGCAGTGTTTAACATTACTGTGTAGAATATATCAAAGTAAAAATGTTTGCTAATATTGATTTAATGACAAAAATGGCTGGTTACTTTTAGTTCTTTGATGGGTAAAACAGGTTGAACTTTGTATGAACTATATATAATTTTCCAAATATGATAGTTACATGTACTTTTGGTTATATGGCACACATATTTTAAGAAAAATAAATATGTTTGCTGTAATTGTACTAGTTTTTCTAATAGCAGAAGAAGAAACATGAAAACATAAAACAATCCAAATGACTGCTTTTCACCAAAAATACAGTAATGAAGCTAAATTTGCTTTAATAGAAAAAAAACAACGCCTTTTAATGCCCCCTGGTGTATGGTATGGAGATGAGCAGAAAATAGATTATATATAGAGGAAATAGACTCTTCCTGCTCTGCTCTTCCAAGTTGATAAAGACAAAGGGTGTACGGCGGCATAGAATCAGTGAGACGACAGTATAGATGTTTGACAGGCATTGTCAAACATCTGACAAAAAAGTTCAATATACAGAAATGGAACAACATGCATTTTTTATTTAAATTCATTCAATATCACTTAAGCATAATAAGAAAAAAACATCAAACTAACATTGTATGAATAATGCAAGCTAATTCCAACATCTTATAACAGCTTTAAACTGAAACACATTAAAACGATATCACATTTGGTACAGACATCTGAAACAGTCGAGTTTAAAAGTGCAGTCTAAGATTTAAATCCATTATACTACTAGCAAATATCTACTTACACTCCGCTAGCTGACTGCATTACTGTATGTGCCTATGCTAAAAGAAAAGCTGGTTATGATCCAGCCAATCAGCATCAGGGCGTTTATGCCTGTGCGAGGACAGGGGAAAGGAGGGCCATGGATGTGTAAAGAGAAAGGCAGTGGGAGCAAGAGGCAGGGTAAATACGAAGGGGGACATTTGTTTTTAAGATCAAATATCAACAATCTTTCTTGAGAATCGCTGACTCCACATTTGACTCAGATCAAAAAGCCTTGGCAGCCGTGTAGACCCCGGGGCCAGTTTCCATCACGGTGAAGACGACAGTAGAATAAATCCAAGGGTCTTCATTTCTCTAAGGAAATATATTACAAATTATTTGTGATGACAAACCGGATCGAGTTGCATCATAAGCCTTTTGCAATGTTTGTCTTACCTTTACATTCCTTTTTGCAACATTTCCTTGCAGGTAAACAGCAGCTACAATATGGACACAAGTTAAAAATAGATAAGGATGACCTAGTATGTATAAACAATGATATCAGCATTATCTAAATAATGTGTTATTTAGTGAGGTAACTTCTATTACCTTTATTATGGCAATAATCACACTTGCTTTTCTTGATGGCGTGAATAAGGATGGCTATAACAATCACACTAATAGCCGAGACCACAGACGGCAGAAGCAGAAATACATCGCCAGTCTGTACATCTCCAAAAGACCGTAAGCCGGTTCCTGAAACATGAAAGGAAAATGAAATAACATTTAGTACTTTCACCCAAGAATATTTTACTTCACAATCAATATGGATTTTATCCATTTATTTGAATGTAACCTCTTATCAATGCAAATGTCCCTATCAAACACTTAAACCACACTGACTTAAACCACTTGGGTTTCTTATTACAAACATGTGATGTACATCAATGATGTCTAAGGCCAGATAAAATAATGCCCAAGATATCTGGAATACTTAAATTAGATTGGCTTGCCATCCATAAAGACAGTTTAAAGAAGCTAATAGAGAACCAACTGTATAACTTAGAGTTAAATACAAACAAATCCCAAACTTAAAAGCACATCAATTAACGATAAAAGGAAGAAAACGGGTTAAAATAAACAGCAATACTTTTACCTTCAATGTTCAGTTTTGTTCCGTCTCCGAATACTATTTCTCCACATGTGGCCACAGCACAGTAGTAAATCCCAGCATCAGAGGAGTTGAAGTTCTTTGAGAGGTGATAAACAGAACTCTTCTGAGTGTCCGATGTCTTCTTACACTCATTTGGTTCATTTCCATCAGTGTAGATGATGTTAGGATAAGACGTATCTGATCTGACTCCAAACCAGTGTACACTGTGCTCCCCTGGACATTTCTTGTTCTCAGAGTCAGAGAGGACTGAGCACTGGAGAGTGGCGGAGTCTCCTGGATGAACTGGATCGGATAGTGTCGGCCACTGAACAACAGTAACGTTTGTCGCCCTCAGAGTGTTTCCTACAGAACACGACAGTGGAAATTGTAAAACATGTTGTGTTTATCATGTAATTTCAGTAATGGAAGGTCAAAATGAAAATGTCAGATTTGAAATTGTCAATTATTATGAAACCAAAAGCATCTGTTTTATCTTCACACTACTAACACAAATACAGAGATAGGTATTACCTTCTAAAGACAAATATGTGCTCGTCCATTCAATTCTTGCTCCACGTAGTGACTGCGCAGTGATACATTGCCTTATCATCTTGGATTGTCTTCAAAATGGTCAGAGAGCTCATGTTAACTAGATGTTTTACATTGAAACGATAGTGAGGAAACCCTTTTTCAAATGCAGGATTTTCAGTGCCTTTCAACAGTGTAGTAATTCATGTAAGAGAATCACCAACACTGTTTGTACCACTTGACTCGTGTATTCAGGGCCACCCCTGGCCAACTTGGGGCCCCAAGCGACATTGTGAGGTCCCCCCACAACATTTTTTAGGCTACTTTGCAAATATAATTCCTGTTTATTATTATTATCAACACAGTTACTTTTTTATACAGTGAGGTAAATGGTAAATGTGCATGTATGTCGTTCAGTATGCGTTTACAGGTGAATACGTCAAATACTAGCCTCAAAAGGATTAAAATATAATTAATGCAAATAAACTACTTCTACTAATAATAATAATCATAATCAATTCAATAATATAAATACTATATTATTTTATCATAATATAGTTGTAATATAGTCAAGACAAAACATGCTTATGACATGCGCAAAAACTGATATTTCTTAAATCTGTATTCAAATGTAGTTCCCTCTGTCAGCAATGTATCAACAACTACACACATTCCTATCAGTATTTCTCTGTGTTGTGGTTGACATGATGATGACTGTGAGGAGTTAAGGGGAGAGGCTGAGCATCACCATGAAATGTGCAAATTGACATAAAATGAATAAAAGGGGAAAAATGCTCCATGTTTTTTAAGCTGTAAACTTTAACTGTTATGTAAGCCAACTAGACAGACAGTCTATCACTCTTCCTCCTGTACATTAGCAGATAAAAGACATAACATACTTAAATGAATGTTAAATAAAAAATGCTGGAAATAACTGCATCTCCATTAGCCTATGCTATGCAGAGACTGCCTTCTTCATGTTATGAATTGCAGCTGATGTTTTAATATGGCAATTTGACTTATACAACATTCGCAAGTTGTACATTTGACTCATACAATAATAACCCACCTTCGAGTGATGCTCTAGTTTCTTCATGTTTTGTTTTTTGCGCCGGACTGAAACTGTCTTTTCATCGACATCTCTTCACCTGCACTAGTGGCCGTATCAAAGCCGTGATTGGTCAGATGTCGATACATTACAACGGTGTCGGGTTACAGACGTGCTCCCCTTGTCACCTCTCACTCTCGCGGAGAACTGAGCGGAGAACTGCGCACAGCAGCTGAGGCCCTCTGGGCGGGGCCCCCTGCAGCCTGCGTGATTGGCCTGTAGGGAGGGGCGGCCCTGCGTGTATTGCTATGCTCCCAATCAGGGTAAACGCATGTGAAGGTTGCAGATTCACCAAGTTGAACTATGGTCACTGGAATCAGTCCATCTGTATTAAAAGACAATAGAGAGTATATCATTATTATAACAATCATAATCTACAAGTGCAATGGAAGTATACAGGAAAGAAGATTGAACAAACAATATTACTTTTATACACATTTATTTCTGTAAATACAGTCGGAAATATAAAGTATGTTTGAGGTTCTGTAACTATATACCAACCTTTAAGAAAAAGGTTGCTATGATTCTCTTACTAATAAACAAATGTAAAAAATATGTATTTATTTCCCCTCATTAACGCTGAAGTAGTACATTATCTGGAAGAGATAGATAGCACTTACATCCTTGATGGAGAAGAAGCAGTGTAATCCATAAAAGGATCATCTTGATGTTATCTCTCTGGGATCTTCGTTGGTTTTGCAGTAAAGGTGAGGATATGAGATGGTGGGGACAACACACTCTCACGCCATAATCATCCAGGAGCGACGTTTGGTCAGGGTCCTGTGGCGTGCAGTTGTGACGCTCCTAGGCTCCTTCAGCTTCATAAAGGGACGCAAATAGCTTTCAACTGATTGCAATGTATTCCCATCTGAGGCGGGATTTGACGCTCATGGAAGCACGGCATTCGTTTGCGTCGGCTGCTTTTAAAGGCAATGTGAGTGTCCTTTCCCATTAGATAACGGAGAATTGTACACCCGGAAGTAAGTATTCCCCTTACTGTCGATTGATTTTACTGTGATATCTGCACTACTCATCGACTAAAAAACACCAGATTATCCTTGTTAATTACACAACATTGATTGGTTTAAATTGTGTGCAATGCTTTTGTATTTTTCCCCTTCGATTCGGAGAAACAAATATGTTTTCGGAGTAAAGGATGGCAGAAGACACTTATATGTATTTATTTCCAAAAATTATTGGAAAAAAATTGGGTAAAAAAAA